TTTTTTTCCAATTTTATTGGTTAATTTTTGATTATGGCTAAGTTACTCTTGAGTTCCATCTCTTATAGCATCAGAAACGTTGCCAATCGCCCCGCAACTACGACGTTACGAATCGCGATCTAGCGATGAAGCCCCACCGTTACCATCTCGTCGAAGTTTTAGAGATGAAACGTCACGACCTACTTCGCGAGTATCTGCATTTGATTCATACGATGGAGCGTATACGTTAGACCGTACTGGAAGTGCAGTAGGACGTGAGTTTGGTTGGGAGTAAGATCTATCTAAATATACAAAACTTAGTTGATTCTTGGCTTTTTTTATCTATCACAATTTGCTCAAATGAAAGCTCCTAATAGCTTTTAGGTTGTGTTGTAGTGATTTTTCCCTAGATCTTTCCTCTGGGTTTTGTCTTCTATAACTTAAAAGCTGCATGCTTATGCTTATTTTTCTTGCTTTGCTTCGCATAATTTACAGCCTTTTGCATGTCAGCTTCTTTGGTTCTTTTCAGAATACACCAACTATAATTCCCTACCGAGAGGTGAATCAGCACATGTTAATGTCTCTCTTCGACTCTGTTCCACTCTCCCTCGTGGCGAGCGCAGTGGTCGACTTGTGCGTCTTGATTCGTCAAACTCGTTATCAAACTCAGGATCTCAAATGCCTGCCCTTTTCGAACCTAGAAAAGTTGCTTTAATACGAAGATCGAGCACGAGGCAGTCCATCTATGCTGAAAGCATTTATGGGGATATGGAGGAGAGTGAGGAAGTCAGCAAGGAAACTGAGAATGGTTTGTGAGACAGCATTTTGGTGAAGCACTCTATCTGTGTGGGTCTAAAAACAACGAGTCCAAGCAAATTGTCGCAAGAATGTCACTTGATACTAACGAAATGAATGCAGCACTATGAAGTCCAGCACTATGAAGCAGATGCTGTTTTCGGAGTGGAGGAAGAGACTTGTGGAGGTTCCAATTTGCACTGCAAATCTCGCCTACCTGTATGTCTTCTGGTTGTTCACATCACACCGTACACAATGTCTGCCGCCAATCTCCTTGTCTAAATGGGTATGATAGAGGAAGCTCCAATCGCACTGCATCGCATCACATCCACACCTGCACCACTACTACTACCATCATCTAGGTTTGAGAGAATCTATGCGCAAATCCCGAACAAGATCGTCTTTTAGCTACGAGTTTCCTCCAAATTTTTTCACAGTGTATCTGCTGCTACACCTTTAGTATCACGTTTGCCAACAGATGCTCCAGCTCAGCTCTGCTAATTACTCAGGGTCACATCAGTCACTGTGCAATTATGTAATTGCGCACTCACATCTCAGTCAAAAGCAGAAACTTGGTGGACAAAAGTCTCAAGGCTTCTTGTGCTTCTTGGCCAATCAATCTTGTCACTTTTTTGGATTGGATATGTGCAGCAATAAGGTTCCACAGTTAGCACTCTATCACAAATCCTATCAATTCACTTTCTCTTAAATGTTGTGTGGACTATATTGTTTGCACGTATGGCTGTTCATCAACTACAGCTGTCTATTTTTTGACAGTTAGCACTCATAAGCGGGACCATAATCTCCCAAATAACAGCACGATAAAGTGCACTACTTGTTTTGTCAGTAGAAAATCAGGAACTATGCGAATAATATTTTTTAGGCGGAGTATCTAGCTCTACGTCGTCAAGACCGTCTTCAATGTCGACGCGTCCGCTTTCGTCTACTAATGGATACATGGTAAGCACTTTTAGGGACAATGCATAGTGCAAATGGTGTAGTTGACATTGTGTGTTAAAACCAGAATGGGCAGATCTTACCAATGCCATGGAGTATGAACGCATAAGCAATGAACTCCGCAATGAACTCCGCCTTACAGGATTTGCTGTGTATTCTGCAATCATACGAATGCGCATCAGTCCTCAACGAATATTTCGTCAATTCGAAATTGTGGACGTAGTTGATAGCTCTTTCTCCTGTTAGCAGTCTTAAATTAGAATTTTGTTTAAAAAAGCTTGCGGTGTTTAAGGAATTCTTTGCTGTTATTTTTGAGTTAAGGGTGAAGCTAGTCTCAGGTAGCGTTCAATCTCACTATTTTCAGGAGACCTTGACGTACCAAGAACATTCGACGTCAGCGTACAGACGTGAAGCTACCCCTACAAATCGTGCCAGCGATAAAGAAGCCGTTGAATTTATCTCTTGGGTAGAGGACAACCAATATGGTCGGCAAACGCCTAGTACTCAACCAGCTACACCCTCATCGCAGCATGACAATGATTCGTTGAAGAGTGAGAGTGAGTTTTTCCCTGTTGCTTACCTCCTTCTGATTGATCCGATTTTCCATGTAATTTTCTTTCCAGAAAAACGATTTTCTCTGTTTGGTAAACGTGGATCGAAGTCTCAGAAGTGAGACCATCCACTGCTGAATAGTCAGGAAACTCTTCAACAAGCTCGACTGGTCCAGAAGTTTTTACTTGTAAGACTTCCCATACATGATACCACTTAATGATTGCCTCAGTATGCCCAGAACGCCTTTAATACACGACTTTCGTTTTGTTTATTGATTTGTTGTCCCAGTTGAACCATTCCATATACACATGTCTTATCTCTCTCTCACTTGCTTCTCGTTTTTTCTTCTTTTTGTTTGTACACAACATTTTCAATGTTTTGAATGGTTGTCCCGCTTGTTTCTCCTATCCGTTTCCTTCCAAGTGATCAGATTTATATGTGTAGCTCAAAAAAGCGTGTCTTGAATGTGTGTTGCTTTATGCATATCACATTTCTTTTCCCTATTTTCCTTTTTTATACTATAGGTGAAGCTTTTGTATTCAAAGCACAGTTGAGAGGTATAGCATCAAGCCCGATGGTGTTATTACCAATCGACATGTTAATTGCCTGCGAAGAAGTTTCTAATAATCAGAATAAATTATATTTTTTCTAGGTGTTTGTTTTGTTGAAAGATGGGAGTTCACGAAACGGTTCTATCTGTTTTAAGATTAAGCCGAGTTCACGTCAGCATCATAGTGGAACTGGCGACTTTTTATCTTATTTTTCCTGTACTAAGCGAATCTTTCGCAGTATCTTAATGGTCTAACATGCGGTAGGATCATTGTCAGGAAAGTTTTTTT